CAGAGTCCTTTCTGAGGGTTCCGTGTCTCACTGGGCCTCAAGTTCATCAAGTTCATCTACTTAAAAATGTGGTGGCGCCTGCCTTTAATCCCAGCTGAGGCAGGAGGATCAGGAGCTCAAGGCTGACCTGGGCCACGCCATACCTTTGCGCTCCCCCAGACAGAGTGAAAACGTCTCCCTTTGGGCTGTGGAGAGACCTCTGTTATTGACCCACCTGGGGCTCGGTGTCCGCAGTCTGGCCTGAGTGCCCAGGACACGGGAGGGACTTGGGGGTACCCGCGCCAGCCCCAGGGTTGGCGAGAGTGGTTCACGTGGTGGGGAGTCCCTGGGTGTGGGTGTGACAATCCCCGGGGCCGCAGACACCACAGGGCGAGAGACTGTGGTGGCATGAGGGCATCGGGGCAGCCGTGTGAAGGCCCAGGGGCGGCCGGAGCCTGGCGTTGGAGCAGGGGCTTGGCTGGCCGGGATGGGTGGGAAGGCCAATGGGGTGAGGGAGGGTCTTGCATTCATTAGTGTCCTGAGTGCATGGAGCAGGACGGGACACCCCGTGTGTCCTGTCCCCAGGACCAGGAGCGGACTTCTGACTCCTCCCTCCCCGGCTGGTCTCCCCTCCCCCCAGGGCAGAGCACAGGGCGGGCGGGGTGGTAGATGTGATGGGGGTGACCCTGAGCTCGGAGCCGGCGAGGGACCCCCATTCTTGTCCTTTCTCCCTGTCCTAGTCACAGGCATCGAGAAGACTCCTGGCCTGCTGTGTCCTGTTTCTCCATCCGAGCAGAGGGTGGAGGCTGGAGCCCTGACCTGTGGCCTCCCCTCACCCCTGCTTGTCACCCTCTGCCCTCCCAGGCACCGTCTGTGTCCTGCTGTCTTTCCCGTTCATCTTCAGCCCGTGCCTCGGCTGCGGGGAGGCCACCCCTGAGTGGGCCGCCCTGCTCTATTACGGACCCTTCATCGTCATCTTCCAGTTCGGCTGGGCTGCCACGCAGATTGCCCACCTGAGTCTCATCCCAGAGCTGGTGACCAGTGACCACGAGAAGGTGGAGCTCACAGCCCTCAGGTACTCCAGGGCTGGGGATGGTGGCCTAGCTAGGAGTCTCGGGAACTGTGTCTGTCAGCCACAGCTGTGTGACAGTCAAGTGCCAGGTGAGCCGCGGAGAGGGAACAAGCACTCTCTGGTCTTCACACTGTTTCCTTCTCTTGTTTTGTTTTTCGAGACAGGGTTTCTCTGTGTCCCAGGCTGTCCTGGAACTCACTTAGTAGCCCAGGCTGGCTTCCAGCTCACAGAGATCTGCCTGCCTCTGCCTCCCGAGTGCTGGGATTAAGGGTGTGCGCCACCACTGCCAGCCCATATTTTAAAAAATAAAACATTTGAGTCAGTCTCTTCCTAGTTGCCCAGGCTGACTTTGACGCTGAACTTCCCTCGGCCTGCGGAGTGGCTGGGATGGCAGATGTGCACTAGCCTGGACCGTGGCTTGGCGATTCTTTGAAGCTAGCAGAGTGGTCTGTGACTCCGGGGTGCAGCCCAAGGCCAATGTCCTGAGGTCACATGATTAGGCCAGGCCCTTCAGGGACACCCCATCTTCAAAGGAACCCCAGCTGACCAAGGACCTAATTGTCCCCACATGACTGGCCCCTTTATTCCACAGCGGATCTGTGGCCTGGTCCTCCGGGAAGGACACACTCAGGGTGGGACGCTATGGGCTTGTGGACCAATGCCACCAGTTTGGGGAGTTAGGGCATGGTGTTCTGGATTTCTGACAGACAGTAAGCATTTATTGAGACTTGCTGTGTACCAGACACCATGTCTGTGGACTCTGTGTGTGCTAAGCCTGGCCCCTCACCCACAGGTATGCGTTCACCGTGGTGGCCAACATCACGGTGTATGGCGCCGCCTGGCTGCTGCTCCATCTGCAGGGCTCCTCACATGCTGGGCAGGACATCAGTGTGGGTGACCAGCTGGGAGTCCAGGATGTGCCAGTGTTTCGGGTAAGTCGGGGCTTCACGGTCATCCCAGGGGCCTCGAGTCTGTGGGAGCCGTGGCTGACCCCTGCTGTCCTTCCCAGAACCTGGCCCTGCTGGTGGTGGGCGTGGGAGCCATCTTCTCCCTGCTCTTCCATCTGGGTACCAAGGAGGGGCGGCGCCGGCCCCGGGGCACGGAACCTGATGAGCACAGTCCCTTGGTGGCCCCTACGGCCCGGCCACATCTGCTCTGGAAACACTGGCTTCGGGAGCCAGCTTTCTATCAGGTATGTTGTGGGGGCCGATCTGACTGGAGAAGACACCCAGTCCCACCAGAACCACCCAGGGCAGACATTACCAGTGGATCTCACACCGCATCCCTGTACCCAGGGCAGGCATTACTAATCAACCTTCTCTTTTACATCGAGCAGACATTAGGAATCAGTCTTCTACAGCCGGGCATACATTGTCTTTCAACCGTCTATCCCGTGCTCAGAGTGGATGTTACTGATTTCCATTTCACTCCCAGGACAGACATCACTAATCACTCCTTCATTGAACTCTCAGGGCAAACTGATTTCTGTTTCATACTTAGGGCAGACACTGTTAATCAGTTTTCCATTCCACATCCAGGACAGACATTACTAATCACAGATTCCCTCCTGGCCTGCTGAGCAGTCATCTGCTCTCCAAATCCCTTACTGGAGGGAGTGCACTGGGTCTCCCACTGACCCCTGGCTTGTCCCCCTGCTGATCTGCCCACAGGTGGGCATGCTGTACATGACCACGAGGCTGATTGTGAACCTGTCTCAGACCTACATTGCCATGTACCTGAGTTACTCTCTCAGCCTGCCCAAGGTGAGGTGGGTGGTGGACAGCGGGGAGGAGGTGGGCGGGGAGGAGGTGGGCGGGGAGGAGGTGGGCGGCCCCTCCCACCCGGAAGCCCCCTCTGGACCACCGCTGCCTCTCCCTCCACAGAAGTTCATCGCCACCATCCCTCTGGTGATGTACTTGAGTGGTTTCATCTCCTCCTTCCTCATGAAGCCAGTCAACAGGCGCATAGGGAGGAATGTGAGTGACAGGAGCTGCTGGGGGGAGGGGGGGAGGGGGAGGGGAAGAGGGGGAGGGGGAGAGGGCTGGGAGGTGGGGAGGGCTGGGAGGTGGGGAGGGCTGGGAGGTGGGGAGGGGGAGAGGTGGGGAGGGCTGGGGGGTGGGGAGGGCTGGGAGGTGGGGAGGGCTCGGGGACACACCCCCAGGGCAGACCCACACCCCTGGTGTCAGACAGTGGCCTGAATTCTACAATCCAGGCTTCTGGGCAGCTGGATTCTCTGGCCCTTAGGCCACAGGGCTCTGGAATCTTCCAGGCTGTTCCTTCTAGGAGCCTGGTGGGTTGGCTTGGACTGCCTACCCTGGATGTAGAATGGAAAGTGGATTAGTAATGTCTAATCTGGCTGTATAGCATAAGGTCGATTAGTAATGTCTGCCCTGGGCGTGGACCCGCCGTGCCTGTCGTGGGAGGATAGGACACGTTTTTAATGGTGCCTTTCACCGGGCTGAGGACCAGAGAGGGCAGGTGTCGGGCACAGGGTGGGCCTGATGCCGGACCGCCTCCTTCCTCCAGATGACCTACTTCGGCGGGCTGCTGGTGATCCTGGCCTTCGCAGCGTGGGTGGCCGTGGTAGACAAGCTGGGCGTGGCCGTGTACGGGGCCGCTGTGCTGCTGGGCGCCGGCTGTGCTACCATCCTTGTCACCTCGCTGGCCATGACCGCCGACCTCATTGGCCCCCACACGGTAGGGCTGGCGGGAGGAGCCCTGGAAGGCCGTGGTCTGGACCCCGGGCCTGGGCCCTGACCCTGTGTGCCCCACAGCACAGTGGAGCCTTCGTGTACGGTGCTATGAGCTTCTCGGACAAGGTGGCCAACGGGCTGGCGGTGATGGTCGTGCAGAGCCTGCATCCCTGCCCGTGAGTCCTTGTTCCTCAGACTGCAGGAGCAGCTAACAGTTTACCGTGAGCTAAGGGCCGGGCTGCGGGTGACACAGACCCACTCGGACCCCTCAGGGCGTGGGTGCCTCAGCCACCCAGCCACCCGTGCTGGCCCAGGACAATGCCAGCCGTGTCCCTAACGGCTAATGCAGAAGTGGGGGTAGGAAGGTGCAGTCTCCAGTCGGGGTTGGGCAGGAGGCCGGGAGGGTTCCTGAGAACCCGAACCGTGTGAGGAGCCTCCGTACCACAGCCAGGGCCGTGCAAAGGCCCTGGGGCAGGACCGAGCCCATGCTGGAGCTCAGGAACCGACTGGGTAGGGCTGTGGGCTGCCGGGGAACTTTGTGTGTGTCTGTGTGGGGTGTGTGTAGGCCCAGGGTGCCCTGGAACGTGGGATGGGAGCCATGGGGGGCTGTTGCAGGGGTACTGCGGCAATCCCCAGGGACCCTCAGCCCGCCTTCTGCCCCCAGTTCCGAGCTGTGCTGCAGGGCCTGCGTTGGCTTCTACCACTGGGTGATGGTGGTCGTGACGGGCGGCGTGGGTGTGGCCGCGGCCCTGGCTCTCTGCAGCCTCCTCATCTGGCCCATCCGCATTCGCACCCGTGAGTCTCCTTCGCTGCGGCTTGGGTGGGTGGGGACTCCGGGCTGGGGGCGGGGTGCGACCTGGGACCCGCCCTTCCCAATGCCACCCTACTCCTCAATTTCAGGGGACCTCGGAGACCGGCCCTGACTTGGCTCCCCGGGGCAACAGGACGAAGGACCAGGCCGACACCCTAACCCCCCTGACCCCCCACCTGCTTGGGGTCAGAGGGCACGGTGTGCGAGTGGGGGGGTGATACCTGGCCAAGCTCTCTGCGCCCCGGGTGTCCCGCCCCAGCCGTGGCCTCGGCCTGGAGCAGGGACTGGGAGGCCAGGGCCTCGGTCAGCCCGCGGGGACGGTCGGGAGCCAGGGGAGGGTGAAGCGTGGCCGAGGCTGGAGGACAGAGGCCCCGGGTGCGTGCGGAGGGACGGTCGCCCGCCGGCGAGGGACGCACGCGCAGGCACGGTCGGCAGTAGGGCTTTATCAGAGCGAGGGCGTGAAGGCCGGGGGCGGCTGCCCGGTGGCCGGGCAGGGGCGCTGCCCGCCGCGCTGCCTGAAGTCCTGCGAGGTGTAGCGCGGCCGCTGTGGCGGCGACAGGTCGGGCACGTAGTTGGACCGCTTGGGCTGCTCCGTCCCAAACTGGTTCCTGTTGACCACTGGGGACCCGGACCGTGCTCAGAGGCCGGCCCCGCCCCGCCGCGGCCACGCCCCGCCGCGGCCACGCCCCGCCGCGGCCACGCCCCGCCGCGGCCACGCCCCCACAGCCAGTCCCACCTGCTAGCTGCCGGGCTCTGCACTGTTTTGCTTTTCGCCCCTGCTGTTCTGACTCAGGGTCTCTTCAAGTTTGACCCCGTGTAGCCCAGGCTGTACTGCCTCTGCCCTGGGAGTGCTGGGGTGACCCGCGTGCACCCCGCCCCGGCTCCCGCCAGTCCCCGTCCCGCCGCTCACCGAACTCCTTGCCGCGCACGTGCCTGTCCCTCCAGGGCACGCACCCCCAGCGCGTGCCCGCGCTCAGGTACTGCGCAGGCAGCGTGGGGTCCCAGAAGGCCGTCTCCCGCAGGTGCTGCGTGTAGGCTGCAGGGAAGCGAGGGCGGGGTCAGCGTGGGACCCACGGGTGTGCGCGGCGGGGGGCGTGACACTCACCGGAGGGCAGCCCGCGCTGGCGACTGTCGAAGCAACCGTGCCAGCGCGCGTGGGCCTCGCGGTACGGGCTGTCGAGCGCGTTGGGCAGCATGTACCAGGCCTCGCGCGGCTGCGAGTTGGTCAGGCCGGTGAACCACACCTGGCCGGCCGCGTCCTGTCCCATGGGCGTGAACTTCCAGCGCGTGGCCTGCTTGACGGCTGGCGCCCAGCGGGGCCCCTCCAGGGACAGGTAGTCATTGCTGAAGGAGGACAGTGACTGAGCCCGAAGCCCTGCCGCTCCCAGCCTGCTTCCCTGTCTCAAGGGTGTCTGAGCCCTTTAAAGGTGCTGTGGGGTGAGGTCACTGTCTCTGCCCAGCGTCTCCTCCCTGCACCACCCCACCCGCAGTCATTATCTCATGTAGCCAGCATGGCCCTGCTTATTTTTGAGGCAGATCTCACTGTCAGTGTTGACCTTGAAGCAATCCTCCTGCCTCAGCCTCCCAAGTGCTTGTATAACAGGCATGAGCCTGGCTTCTGGCGTCACCAGGGGACCAAGCCAGGGTCGCGCTTTGCGGGAAGCTCCCCATAGATGGTACCGGGATTGCCGCTTGTCAAGGCCCATGCAGTGACAGCCTTACGGAATTTTCAGTGGAGAAGGGGATGTGGCCCCTACAGTTTCAAAGTGCAAACTAGGGCTGGGGTGGCTCCATGGTGAACCCCTGGAACTGTCATCTGTACCACAATGCCCAAAGTATGAACAGGCCTGTGAAATGGGACTATTTTGCCGGGTAGCACATACCCATGCTCAGCATGCTGAGTGAGGAAGGACTTTGGGAGTTTAATAGCTTGGGCTACCCAGAAGGATCCTGTGTCAAATTAAAAAGTGTACACCATGGTGGCACATTCCAGCACTTGTGGAGGGGGGGCAGGAGGATCAGAAGTTCAAGGTCATCCTCAGCTACATGGTGAAGCTGAGGCCAACCTGGGCTACATGAGACCTGGGCTACCAACACACACACACACACACACACACACACACACACACACACACACACACACGGCCAGGCTGGGGAGGGAGTTCTGTTGAGCCTAGGAGCTTCCAAGCCCAGCCTGCACCTCAACCACCTTGACTGCAGGGTAGGAGGTGGGCCAGCTGGTGCCTGGGTGAAGGGGGTGCCAAACGCAGGGACCCACCTGTATAGAGGGGCAGGGAAGTAGAGTTCCAGGGTGCCCGAGGAGACAAAGGGCTGGGAGGCCTCCCGCCTCAGGTTCTCCATGTCTGCCTCTGCTTCTCAGAGTCTCCGACCACCAAGGCCCCGGGGCCATTGTTGACAGGGACAAAGGTGTCCCAGCAACAGGGAAGTGGGCAGTCAGGGTCCCCATGACCTCGGCTACTTCCTGGTGTGGGGCTGGAGTCATCAGGACTAAAGTGGGGCTTGGGGTCTTCAGCTCTGCCAGCTCCCTACATGGGGACATCTGGATGTCCTGCTCCCAGTCTTTACCCTTACAGCCTGCCCTTACCCACCCCACCCTTCTGTCCTCTGGACACCACAAGGCAGGCACTGTGCTCAGTGGGACTCAGTGTGAGCCAGGGGAATTCTCCTGGGCACCTGCTCTGGACCAATACTTAGCCATGAACAGGAGACTGTCATCAGCCGGTGTGGAGGAACATTAAGGACATGGTGCTCAGCAAGGGGCCCGGAAACAATGGCCACGAAGTGTGAGCTCCCCGACAGGGAATTCCACTCCCCGACAACGCCTCCATAGAAGGAAGTGGACTTGTGGGGGCTGTGGTTGGGGCCTGCCTCTGGTCATAGATTGATCTGGAGTTAGCGGTGATTGTTATGTAACTGAAGATGCTGAATCCATTGGCCAGCTCATTTTATGATGGTACATTGTATGCTTCGTACACTTTACTACAATAAACAAATGCCAACCCAACCAAGCCCAAAGTACTCACTCCACTGCCCAGGGGCATGGCTGTATCAGGTGGCAGCTGCCTGGGCACCAGGGTCCTCAGCACAGACATCAACTCTGGTCACCTGTCCTGACCCAGGGTCTTTGTGCAGACTGCGCCACAGCCCAGACTGTAGACGGTCACATCTGAGCACTGCTCCCTTCAGGCTGGGGGACACAGCCAGCCAGGCTTTAGACCTCTCGAGTCCCATGGCAGGCTTTTCCCCAGGGACGCTACGGCAGGCCATGTTGTGGGTGGGGGCCTAGGCCACACTCGACTGCCTGTTGTTCTGGAAGGCTCTGTGGGCTTAGGTTCTGGACCTCTTCGTCTACCCACAGCTCAGCTAAGTACTGTCAGCTTTACCTAAGGCCAATGGAGATACGACCTTGCTGTGCGTTGCCCAGGCCCCCCACTGGCCCTCACCCTTCACATCTGGCTGCCCACTGGAGACCAGCCCAGACTCTGTGACAAGTTTGGTGTTGAGGTGGACAGATGGACAAGGCTGCTCTGTCCAGGGGGAGCCTCCTGCACCACCCGCCTGGGACATCAGGAACAGAATACAGACTGCACGTCTCCTGTGTGGCCAGCAGGGGACCCTTTGCACCAGCGCACAGCTGAGGGTCCTGATTGGACATTTTGCTTTTGGTGACAGGGCAAAGTCCAGGCTGCGAGTAGCAGCAGGTGACCCTGAACCCTGAACTCCTGACAGGCCGAGCTGATGCCTTGCTGGGATGAAGCCCCTGCTGGGGAGCACAGCACCCACTGAGGCCACTGGCCTGGGCTTTGCTAAGAATATCTACTAGAGCCTGATAGGAGGCCACACCCCCGACCTGCAGGCGGCAAACCCAACAGTGACCTGGGTCCCGATGGCCGTGGCTTCTCCGGCCATCAGTTGGAATAAGGCAACAAAACACACAACAGACCCCAGGGCGTCACAGATACATATATACACACACGTGCACACACCATGGCCCAGCCACCACACTGGGGATCTGCAGTGTCCCCAGGTGAGGAGGGGCGGCAGAAATGGGGTCTGAGGTCAGGGCGGCCTGGGAAGCTTCCAGAAGGCCAAAAGGAGGTGGACGCGGCAGACGAGGCAGCTGGCTGGGAAGAGGCACGCGGACAGGCATGGGGTCACAGGAGGTGCACACAGACACGGGGTGGAACGCATCAGGACGACGGGGCGAGAGGCGCAGGTCCCCCGCCAGCGCCTCCCAGGATGTTCCGGCTTGGGTGACACTGGGGTGTTTGCGGGGGGTGGCACAATGGCTCTGGTCCACAGGTCCCCAGGTGATACTGGGTTTGGGGAATTGATGGGATCTCGGGCTTCCTGCTCAGCTGTGTCCAATATGGCTCGGGCAGTGGTGACAGGGAGGTCACAAGTGTCCATCTGAGCGCTGACGGCCAGCAAGAAGGAGATGCAGCCGGTGGCTGAGGGTCCCCGTGCCCGTCCCAGACACTGGCTCCACAGCTCACAACGAGGCGTTTAATGAGACTCTGGGGTCTCCGGCCCGGCTCCCGCCCGCCAGATGCCTCTGAGGACTGCAGGGACAGCAGGGCCCATGCATGCTGGCTGCTCCATCTCTGCCCCGTGGGGCTGCGCATCCCGCCCGCGGGTCTATCGGATCCGGGTGAAGAGGTTAAGCACAGACACGGATTCCTGGGAACAGGGAACATGAGTGACTGTGTGCCAGGGTGCCCTGAGAACCAAGGGGCGTGATAGCAGGGAGGGCATGCACAGTCACCACCCACCCACGTTACCTTTGTAGAGCGTGTTTTGCTGAAAACATTCCAGAACCGCAAGGTTTCATCTCCAGCCCCGGTGACGATGGCCTCCCCGTCAGGGGACATGGCCTACAGAGGGGAGAGAGGGCCCTGGTTGTTCTCCAGCTGCAGCAGGAGGTTCTGAGACCCAGGCAGAAGCCAGGTAGGTGCCAGAGAACACGCACCCTGGGCAGAGGGCGCAGGGCACACAGGCCCCTGCAGTGGTGGGTCTGACCCTGGATTCTGGAGCTGGGCAAGACACAGCTGAGCCTACCAGGCGGCCAGGGACACTGACACTTATGTTGGACTCGACCATGTGGCTCGAGGTCTGTGGGGGGGTTCCTCCACTTCCCGCACCCCAAGACGGGGGAGGGGACACTGGTTAGTGGTGGCTTTGCTCCTGAGATTAAGAGCAGACAGCGGGAAGGCTGGTGCGTCACACCCTTGGCCGTCCAGAGACAAGCCCACCACGGGCCGCAGGGGGCTTAGGGCAGCAGTAGCCGACACTCACCAAGTAGAGGACCCGGTACGAGTGGCCAGTGAGCTTGGCCACCTGCGTAAGGGACGGGTACTTCCACACGAGGATCTGGTTCTGTGAGTAGCCGTGTGTGCTCACCTAGTGTGGAGACTGGGTGTCAGAGCCGCAGAGCGCTTGTGCAAGTGCTTGGCGCTGCCCTGGGCTGGACCGCCTCCGCACCCCGCAGTGCGTACTCACCAGCTCGTTGGCATGTTTGGACCAGGCCAGATTGCACACTTGTGAGCCGGTATCGATGCACTGGAGTGGCTGGCCTGTCAGGGTGTTCCAGAAGCGGATGCAGCGGTCGGCTGTGCCACCGCCAGACGCCAGCAGTCCATGCTGGTGTGGGGACCAGGCGATGGCCTTCACGGCCGCCAGGTGCTCCGTGTACTGCTGCACAGGGCTCACCGTGGAGTGGTTCCAGACGAGCAGCTGCGGGACAGGCCGAGGCTGTGACAGGGCCGCCTGGGGGCAGGGGGCTGCCCAGGGGCAGGAGGCAGGAACACCCCCCGGCCAACTCTGGGGACTCCAGGGATGTAGGCTTTGAATACCTGGGCCAGGACCTGTGAAGCGCCTCCCGTGGAGGCCTCAGGCTACCCCCGTCCCAGGTTCTAGTGTAGGCCAAGCTGAACGGTGGACAGGGAGGGTGACAGGAGTCCTACCTTGTTGTCATTGCCCCCCGAGGCCAGGAGCTGGTGGTCTGTGGACCACTTGAGACCACACACTTCCTGCCGGTGGCCCTGGAGCCGCCGCTCTGACTGCAGGGGCGGTGTGCGGATATCCCGCTGGAGGATCATGCGGTCACGGCTGCCAGATGACAACTGGTCTGCATTCCAGGCCAGCGCCCCTACAGGGTGACAGGAGGTCAGCCTGGGCCTGGTCCAGGGCTGTGGCCCGAGGGCGCGGCTGGGCTGGCCAGGTCCTCACCCACTCGCGCAGTGTGGCCCTCCAGCACCGACAGCTTCTTCCCAGCAGCCGCGTCCCAGATCTGCACGAAGCCTTTGTGTGTGCCCACCGCGACCAGGTTCCCCTAGGGTGACAGTGTGGCCAGGTGGCCATCAGGTGGGTGTGGGGATGAGAAGTCTGCTCATCTTGTGTTCACCACAGACGCAGGCGGTCTCTATAGCTCGTTTTTTTTTTTTTTTTTTTTTTGCCTTTTAAAACAAGGGCTCGGGGCTGGAGAGGTGGCTCAGTGGTTAAGAGCACTGGCTGCTCTTCCAGAGGTCCTGAGTTCAATTCCCAGCACCCACATGGTGGCTCACAACCATCTGTAATGAGATCTGGCGCCCTCTTCTGTATACGTAATAAATAAATAAATCTTTAAAAAAAAAAAACAACCAACCAAACAAACAAACAAACAAAAAACAAGGGCTCACTCTGTAGCCCAGGCTAGCCATAGACTCAAAATGCTACCCAGGTTGACCTCAAACTCAGGGAAATCCTCCAGCCTCAGCCTCTGGAGTGCTGGGATTATCCATGGGAGCCATCACACCCACTACAAACTGCTTTGCTCACCCCCTCCATGGGGCTCCGGGAGCCGTCTCCACGCGGCCCTCACTGGTCCTGCCCTGTGCTGGAGCACACACACCGGCCGCCCCAGCACTGCCGGCTGCTGGAAGGGCGGCGCAGTCTCACAAACATGGCTGAGGGCTGGCCAGCAGGCGGGTGTTTGTGTGGTAGGGAAGAGCGCCCTCAGCTAAGCGGCCTTACTGAAGATCCAAGGGTCAGTGGCTCCACCCTCCTACTCACCCGCTCAGACCAGCCCACGGAAGTCACCGAGTCCCCTTCCACAGAGAGGTCACAGAGCCGGGTCACCTGTGGGCAGGAGGCAGAGTGAGGGGCTGATGGGCAGGTCCTCAGACCCGTCCCTCTGCTGTGCCTCTCCAGGCTCCACTCAGCACAGAGATGGCATCAGAGGCTGGCAAGGAGACCAGCGCCCCAGAGCCCACGGTGCTTCCTGTCTCAGGGAGAAGCGGGGTGTGGGGGGGGCACCTGGAGGGCAGAGGGTGGCTCTCTGCAGGCTCCTTCCCGTGCCCTCCCTGCGGGCTGCACTGGCTGTGGTCAGACCCCCCAGAGGGGGCCTGGGCGCCCACCTGGCTGGTGCACGCGCTCCACAGGTACACGCAGGTACCCAGGCCCACACTGAGCACGTTGAGGGAGGACCAGTCCACCAGGTTGAGGTAGAAGTCGTCCTGAAGCTCCGGCGCATCCAGCACCTTGAAGGGAATCTTGGAGATCTTGCGCGTGGGCTTCCGTGGCGACCGCAGCAGCTTCTGACTGCGGGGACAGCAGGACACCGCTCGCTGCCGCCCCAGAGCCCCGGGTCCCGCCCCTACCATCACCTGCGGGCCTCGGTCCGGGCCCTGGCTCACCTCTTGTTGCTAACAGGGGACAAGGAGTACGGGGACACGTCGTTGCCGTCATCAGGACTCGAGCGCTTGCTGCTGAGGGAATACTGGGGGCAGGGACACCGCACTGAGCGGCTGCTGTAGCCTGGGGACTTGGAAACCCTGAGCACCCCAAAGCTGACACATACTGGGCAGGAGGCCGCAGAAGGACAGAACAGGTCCGGACCCCCACCCCCGATCCCCCGCGCGCAGCCCCCTCCCTCGAGGGCACCTGGCTGCCACTGGCTCACCGTGAAGAGGCCCTTGTGCTCAGGCGTGGATGGCTGCAGCCGCCGATCCTCCGTCTGCGGGTCCTGCACCTTCTCAATGCCGGCGCCCAGCAGCTCGTTCTTCAGCAGCGCCGAGTAGGCCAGGCCATCTGCAGGGGGGCCGAGGCTGTTGGGAGCGTCTCTGGGGCGGGGCCTCGGGCGGGTGGAGTCGGTGGGGCGGGGCCTAAGGGGAGGGCAGACTAGCTGGGCGGGGCCTGTGGCTGAGTGGGCGGGGCCGACCCTCACCTTTGCCGTTGTCTGAGGTGGCATCCTTGGCCTTGCGGTTCTGGCTGGGGGACTTCTCGTTTTCCTACGGGAGAGGAACCCGTGAGGGGCGCCGCAACACGGGGCTGTGCCCACCTCAGGGTGACAGGCCCCGCGCCCTGCCCAGCCTGGCTCTCACATTGATCCTGTGGAAGTTCACGCTCCAGTTGGCTCCGGCCCGCGAGGGGATGAAGCGGTCACCATGCTTGCTGGGCGAGGACACTGGGGAGTTGGCTGGTGTCAGGGTCCTCCGCATCTCTGAGACCTGGGGGAGGACTGGGGGGGTTAGCTGCGGTGACCCCCAGGGCAGGCCCCTCAGCCCATGCACAGTGTCCTTTCCTACAGGGGTGGCCCGGTCACTCACACATGGCACTGTGTTCTCATTCTGGATGATGATCTGACGCAGGAGTCTGCGCTCATAGTCCTGGTCCATGGCGGGCGGGGCGGGGCCCGCAGCCGAGGGCAGCCTGCAGGGTGGACAGAAGGAAGCTCATAGCAGCCCAGGCCCCGTAAACACAACTGTGAAGAAAACAGGCTACTGGGCTGTTTTGCAAATTTTATTTTTGATACAAGGTCTCATGTAGCCCAGGCTGACCACCAACCTCTAAGAAGCAAAGGAGAACCTTGAATGTATGTCACCGTACCTAGGGAGCACATCCCAGGTGTCACCATACCTAGGGAGCACATCCCAGGTGTCACCATGCCTAGGGAGCACATCCCATGTGTCACCATACCTAGGGAGCACATCCCAGGTGTCACCATACCTAGGGAGCACATCCCAGGTGTCACCATACCTAGGGAGCACATCCCAGGTGTCACCGTGCCTAGGGAGCACATCCCAGGTGTCACCGGCCTAGGGAGCACATCCCAGGTGTCACCATACCTAGGGAGCACATCCCAGGTGTCACCGTGCCTAGGGAGCACATCCCAGGTGTCACCGGCCTAGGGAGCACATCCCAGGTGTCAAGGACTCAGCATCCCTTAGCCTGGAAGCAGGTGCTGTGTGCCCCAGGGGTGGGTGGGTGGGTGGGTAGCGGGATCCATTCTGGTCCTGCCATTCCAGCAGCTTCAGGCTGGCCCTGCATGCACCTGAGTGTGTCATGTGCAGTGAGCCTCAGTCCCTGGAGTGTCCAGTCTAGCGGGGAGGTGTGGCCACTACCAAGCCATGAGTGTGGGGGAATTGGGGACATGGCCTTCATAGGAATTGGAGCAACTGTGTGTGACCCATGACCCTTGGTGCCCACTCAGACACCTTACACTTGAGGTGGGGGGGGTGTGGTCAGCCAGGGCAGAGCTCACAGGTTGTCTTGCCCAGGATCACAGGTTGTGGGGCTATTGCTTGCTAACACAGGACCAGGCCCTTGGCCGGCACACTATGGCTTCTATATTCCATGGCAGACCAGAAAAGGCAAAGGCCCCCACAGCCTGGGGACAGTCCTTGCTGCAGCACCCAGTGCAGAGCTCCAGGGCTGCCCACTTCTCCATGCCCACTGCCCTAGGCCCCAGCCCCACAGGGCCCCTCTGGCCTGAGCCCTGAGTCTTCCCTCCCCGCAAGGTTGAACACACTGAACACAGAGAAACACCAAAAGCAGAAGCAAGAGATACTCCAGCATCCTTCCCCAGGACACTCCACTTTCCTTGACTGAAGCAGCGTGGTCCTCATTCCACACCAGCTCCCCCGCCTCCCTGGAGCCTGGCCCTCTCTCAGGCTCCAGTCCCTCAAACAGCTGAAGGACTATGTGGCCGAGACCTGTACTATATTCCCAGATGTCCACCTGAGACGGACGACCCCCATGCTGAAGCCTGTACAGCTGCAGGTCCAGCCACACACTGGAGCATTACTCAGCCATGAACAGGAAGGCACTAACATGACCTTGAGGACCCAGACACAGAAGGCCACAGTGTGGGCTCCATGACAGGAAACGTCACAGAGACCAGGGGTGAAGGAGAGGGACTGCCACCCACCACTCAATCCAACCACCACCCTGGAGACAGGCTCCCACTGTGTACCAGGCTGCTCTGGAGTGTTTGGAGTATCAGGAGTTCAAGTCCATCGTTAGATGCACAAGCAGAAGGTCGGCCTGCTCACATGAGCCTGGAAGATGCGAGGCCAGGGCAGTGAAAGGCAGGCCTGGGATCGTTCAAACGAGTCACCTGCCACTGCAGCTAAGGCCGACTCGGGGGCGGATCCAGACCATTCCTGCTCCGAGCACTCTGGTCCCAGGCCCACCTTTCACTCACACAAAGCTTGGGGCTAGGTGGGCACAGGTGGAGTGGTGGCGATGTGAGGCTGAGGGTTTGCAGGGGGAGCTGAGGCACAGCCCCTGCCTGGTGGCACAGCCCCTGCCTGGTGGTCTGGCAGGGCGGACCCGCCCCTCCCTCTGCCTGGCCCTGAGGGAGAGGCTGGATTTTCTCTTGCTCCCTGGTCCCAGGAGGCCAGGGGACAATCTTCCTGCTGGTCCCTAGTCCCTAGGTGCAATCTTGACCCAGCAGCCGGGTGGCCTAGGCCCACGAACTCCCATCAGGCAGCAGGGCCTGGCTCCAAGCCTGGCCCACTCTTCCTAAGCCCAGTCTGGCCCAGCCAACCCTTGGGAGCTGCTCTGGGTCCTGCAGCTTCCTGCTGTGTGTCAGTCTCCCTCAGGCACCCTGACCCTGGCTGTGTCCCAGGATGCTGTGGGCGGAGGTGTCTAGGCATGCAATGGTGCCCAGCGCCCAGCAGGGCCCAAGCCGTCCCGGTGTGGTGCCCACCGGGGCCAAGAATACATGAGCGTGAGTGGAGCCACGGAGGTGATGGGGCCATCAGTCCTGTGGCTGCCCCAGCCAGTGCCACCAGGAGCCAGGGTGGCACCAGCCACCCACCCCCATTGCACGCTTGTCCTCTTGCTTGGCACTGGGTACTAGAAAGCCCTTGGGATCCTGCCACCAGGAAGCTTCCCCCAAGGACGGAAGTTCAGCTCCTCTGGCCCTCAACCACTGGTCACACCCTCCAGGGGCTACAAACCTTGAAAAACTGGTCCCCACAGCTTGTGTGTCAAAGAACCCAAGGAGAGCCCCCACCTGGAGCCAAGTGTGGGGATTCGCCATACTGCACTATGGCCATGGTGGCGCTTGCTGGGCCCGCAGGGTGCTGAGTCGTACTCCTGGTCTCCACCCACTCCATGTCAGGAGCCCCCAAGTCCTGACAGACACGTGTCCCCAGAGTCAGGAACACCCCACACTCCTAGTTAGGACAACAGAGACTGCTCAAGGCACTCCAGCGTGGAGCAGGTGGGAGAAGAGGCTGGCGGCCAGCTGCACCCAAGGCCCTGGCACCACCCCCCCCCAGGCCCAGCAAAGCACCAGGCCTTTTCACCCCATTCTTCCCCTCCGTCACAACTGGTGGCAGCCATGTGGTCAGGACTGCTACCTGCCCTGGAAACTCACAGGGTGCCTGAAGAGCTGAGCCGTGAGAGGCCCGAGGACAGAGCTCGGTCAGCTCCTGAAGCAGTGCCCACCTGGGGGTGCCTAGACCCAAGGCCCCTCATACGTGACCTTAAATCGATTTCCCACAGAGCTCATGTGCTGACCGGAGCCTGTGCTCCACAGACGCCCTTAGGGGCCAAGGGCAGGGATTTCCCATGACCCAGGCTAACAAGCGGCCTATTGACCAGCTCCCTGCACCCCAGGAATGGCGTCCCCACCCCACTTTGCTCTCACTTGTGTCCCGGTGAGACACATAGCTCTGGTCAGAGTCTCCAAGAGACCCTACGCCCAGGAACCTTTGAGTAGGTGCATGGGAGACCTGGGTTCACTCTCAGGACCTTGGGCTCTTCCTCTGAGTGTGTGTGTGTGTTTGGGGGAGGGTGGGAGACACCTGCGGAGCTGGGGCGGCACGAAGGGTCTGAGAAAGGATAGAAGGAGCCAGTCAGTAAGTGGTGGCCGGTGCAGCAGACGCAGAAGCGGGCACAAGACAGGCCCCAGACGGCATTTCACTCTTGCGCATCAGCCTTCCCGCCACAGGAAACGACCAAAGCAGGGGTCTTGACAGCTCCCGTTAGCGAGGGACCCCAGGGGTACTGTAGCTGCCCTGGATGCCTGGGGTCTGACCAAGTCACCTCCCCCCGCCCCCCGCCGGGGGTCCAGGGTGCAGGAACATCCCCAACAGGCGTGTGCACACCGTTCATTTGTTCTTCTGATGCTGTGCCGCTCTCAGCCAGCCTGTGCCAGCTGAGCAGACCAGGTGGCCATCACTGTCCTTCAGAGCTGGCCCATGGGGAGAGACACCTGCCACTGTAACCTGGGTCTCCATGTGACCCGGTGCCTCACTCAGGTGTGTGGCTGCCTGTGTGTGAGTGCCTTGCACACTGAGTACCCAGGGTCCTTACAGACACACAGGGGCTCCGTCCCCTGTGGGCCACTGCACTGCCCACGTGGAGCACAAAGGCTCCGCAGGATGTTGAGCGGCAACTCCGGCCTCCACTCACCCCACACCTGCAGCTGTCCCAGTCATCCCTGTTCCCAGGCATTGCCCACCCTGGGGGCGGGGTGCAGTCTCTGAGACTCTGGGGTTAGAGGATTTCTGAGCAAGGTGGGCTGCTTCCCCAGGGCAAGTGAGCCAGCCCCAAGCGCTCTCCCAGTCCCTGGCCTCCAGTCACCGTGCACACCCTTCACAACCGCACCAGGGACAGGAGAGGCAGGCACAACTCGTCAACGGTCACAGGAAGGCAGTTCTGAGGACACACTCAGCGATGGCAGAGGCAGAGCAAACGTCCAAGTGTGTGTACCCATCCCCAGCAGAGAAGGGGAGCCCATGTCCAGACAGTGATGTGGACTAGGGACGCCAGGGCAGGAAGCTTTCAGAGCAGAACACCGGGCTGCAGGCTGGAGGACGCCTTATGAGAATGGGTTGGCCTTTAGGGAGATGGAGAGTTCTAGAATATACACAGGTGATGGACGAACCACAACTGTCTGTTTTAATAAAACATGAGATATGAGAATGTTACCTGCATAAAGCAGATAAAAATCTGAGAAAACAATTAATAAAAACCAACTTTTCAAGCCAGGCGGTGGTGGCCCACACCTGTAACCCCAGCACTCAGAAGGCAGAGGCAGGTGGATCCCTGTGAGTTTGAGGGCAGCCTGGGCTACAGAGGGAGAGCCAGGCCAGTTACACAGAATAACTGTCTAAAAAAACCAAAACAGAGCCAGGCAGTGGTGGCGCACGCCTTTAATCCCAGCACTCGGGAGGCAGAGCCAGGTGGATCTCTGTGAGTTCGAGGCCAGCCTGGGCTACCAAGTGAGTTCCAGGAAAGGCGCAAAGCTACACAGAGAAACCCTGTCTCGAAAAACCAAAAAAAAAAAAAAAAACCAAAACAGACACAACAACAACAACAACAACAACAAAACCCCACCTTTTCTAAAGGCTGGTGAAGACAGACGGGACAGCAGCCCATCCCCAGAATGGCCAGGCATGCCGTCCTGGCCCTCGCGGGGTTGAGGCAGGAGGACTGCTTGTGTGCTTGAGGCCTCCTGAGCTAGAGTGAGAGTGTGGAGAAAAACAGGCTGGCCAGAGGCCTCCGCAGGGGAAGGCGACGGCCACGGAGCCTGCACACCTGAGCTGTGGCCCTGGGACCCACAGAGTGGAAGGAGAGAACTCACCCCTGCATGGTGGCCTCTGACCTACACATGCACACACAAGATGTACACGCACACCCACACATACATGCACGCACACATGCACGCGCACGCACGCACGCGCGCGCACACACACACTGAGACAGACACAGACACCAGACACAAGGAGACAAGTGGGGTGCAGACACGGCTCCTCAGTGCTCACTGTGGCGCTGGAGGACCTGCATTTGGCCCCCGACCACCTCTAAGTCCAGCTCCAGAGCATGAATGTCCTCTCTGGCCTAGGGCTCCCACACATGTGCATAACCCCACACAGACACACATTAGAAATAAAAAGTAAATCTTTAAGAAAAAAAACTACAGCTTTGGGGGTGTGGGGCCGCCTGCTGCACCTAACAGCTGAACTAGGAAGGAAGCAAGGCCAAGTGCTAAGTAGGAGGCTGAGGCAGGGGAATGCTGTCCTCGACCTGTGGCTCTGGACTCCCAGCTGCACACAGTGGCCGCCTGATGGACAGGTGTCCCCCACCGGCATCTTCAGGGCCACTGTGCAGGGCAGCGGAGGCAGGGCTCACTCCAGGAAGCAGGAATCATGGGGCGCTCCTGGTATCTGCTACTCAGGGGTCCTCAGAGGACCTTGAACCCTGCTCCTTCTCTATGACCCAGAAGAGAAAGTTCAGAAGCCTGTGCGTCAGACCCTGAGAGAAACTGGAAACATGGCGCACCTGGACCTGGACATGGCCCCCTTGATGACTGACCCGTCTTTCTCCCTCTCACACCCTTCTTGTTGCTATGGAGCCCAGATGGACCTCGAACTCACAACCCTCCAGCCTCAGGCTCCCAAGGCCTGTGTCCTGCCACCCCGTCCTGGCAGGCCCCACACCCACAGGGCTCTCCTGGACTTCTCAGGAGGAAAGAGCAGGGGGACAGCCTGGGTCCTTCCAAGCCCCTGAAGGCACAGGCCTGTGATCCCAGCCACTGTGGCAGTTGAGACAGGAGGATTACCAGTTCCGGGACAGCCTGGACAACCTACTAAGATCCTGTCTCAAAATAAAAGGAAGGGCTGTGGGGGTGGCTTCCTTGAGGACCAGAGCTCAAACCCCCAAGACTCTCACAAAGGGCCAGGCCCTGCTGAACACACACATGCATGTCAACTTCAGTGCTTCCAGCAACTGAGGCAGGAGGATGGCTGAGGCTTCTTGGCTGTCAGCCCAACTCTAGGCAGTGAGACCTGTCTCAAGGGAATAGACAGTGACAGGGTAGGGCACATGTCGGCCTCTCCTCTGGACTCTGTGTGTACCTGCACACATGCATGTACACCATACACGCACTTTTTAAAAAAAGTTTAAGGAAATAAATGGGGCTAGAGAGATGGCTCAGTGGTAAAGACCACAGGCAAGGAACCCAGGTTTGGTTTCCAGCACCCATGTGAGGTACCTGTAACTCCAGTTCTAGGACACGGCGCCCCCTCAGGCCTTTATGAGCACTGCACGCACATGGTGTGCATACAGACAAGCACACAGACACACGCGCGTGTGTGTGTGCACATACAGAAAATAAAAATAAACATAGCTTAGGGCTGAAGAGACGGCTGGTGGAAAAGAACACTGGCTATTCTTCCAGAGGAGCTGGGTTCAGTTTTCAGTACCAACAAGGTAACTCACAACTGTCTGGAACCTCAGTTCCAGGGGATCTGACACCCTCTTCTGGTCTCTGTCAGGCACAAATGTGGTACCCAGACATACATGCAGGAAAAATATCCATACAAATAAAATAAAAATAACAAACAAAAAGTCCATACGCACACCTTAAAAAAAAAAAAAGCTGGGGCACCACGGTGAGGGGCGGGGCATCTCTGAGTGAGGGGCTGGGGCATGGTTTCCTGCTAAGCTACTGTCTAGCATGTGCAAAGGCCCTGGGCTCCATGCCCAGCACCAGGAAATGAAACACACCAGTACTCCTGCAGCTCACACTTAGCTTCCAACCCTCTAGTACAAGGAAGCAGAGGGCTAGTATTGGCAATGAGAATAAACCCTTGACACAAGCCGCAAGACCTTGACCCACAAGACATACTGGGGTAAAATTCCTCAAGTACCAAGTACACCCTGGAGATATCCTTGGAGGAACCCCATTAATATCTGCAGCACCTGTTGGGCGTGGGTGCATGCCTTTAATCTCAGCACTCAGGAGGCAGAGGCAGGCAGGTCTCTGAGTTTGAGGCCAGCCTGGGCTACAGAGCGAGTTCCAGGACAGTCAGGGCTACACAGAGAAATTCTATTTCAAATAACCAACCAACCAAACAAACAAACAAACAAAATATTTGTAGCCATTCCAGCCCCATGAGAGCCAGAGCCACCCAAGTCCCTTTCTCTCCAAGCCTGATCCCCAGACCTGGGTGCGCTGTCTGTTCTAGGTGATTCTTCACTGGGGAATCACATTCATTCAGACTGCAGGAAGGAGCTGGGATTGGGGTCCGGCAGCCAGAGGAATGAGGTCATCTCCCACACAGGACAGGTAGGGGACCTGCTTCCCACCATATGCCCTGCACTAGGGAGTGAATATGGGGTGGGGGGCATGGAAGGAAGGAAACTTCTACACGGGCTGGTGTCAGGAGATGGGTGGGCAGGGTGATTTGAAGGCTCTGTAGGGGACAATGGCTTTGAATCAGGGATAGAGGACGGAGGTGCCCGGGCTTGCATTTGGAGACAGAGAGGAGGTTCAGATCTGAAAGGGCATGTGGTGGGTTTGGGGACACACAGACTGTCTTGGCCTTCTGGCCATGTCTCCCCTGAGATGAGACACCTGGTGCTGGGTGAACCACTGAGTGTTATGTGGCAACTTTAGTTCCACAATCCCATCCACTGGGACCCCCATGCCCCGATCCTGCACAAGGCCATAACTGAGACTCCTGGGCTCTGACTGCAATTTTAAGAGGGTGACTCAGATATGGGAATTCAGTTTGGATGTAGGGAGTGTCTGAGGCAGGGGGACTTAGATTTGGAAGTCAACAGGGTGTAAAGGAGTGGTTGTAGTTGTAGAGTTCTGAGTGAGCAGCATGGGGGAGAATGCCCTAAATTTGGGGTAATAGAGATCAAAAGGATAAGAGAGCTGTGGTGGGTGGACAGGACGAGGTCACTGGGTACAGATGGCTCTGGGATGAAGGGCCTCACCTGGGTTGTGTGGTTTTGGTGGGAGCAATAAGGCGTGAGCCCGGTTTGGGGTGCATGGAGCTAGGGGTTGGGGTGATACAGGGCCTGACCTAGGGTCTAGAGTAGCACATTGCCCTGGATTTGGACAGTGCCCTGCTCAGAACCGGGCTCTGGGGAAGGAGGGAGGGTTGTGATGGACAGGGCGAGGTCAAGGCGAGGTCGCCGGGCGTGCGCGACTCGGGGTTGGGGTGACGCAGGGCCTGACCTGGGATCAGGGTGCATTTGCACTATGGGGTCCGGGAGCAGCACGGGTGGCGCCCCGGATCCGGGGGACACGTCTGGAGCGGGGCTCTGGGGATGGAGGGCTCTGACAGACACGGCCAGTTGGCGGGGTCGGGGCCAGGGCCGGGGGTCGCTGCGATGTGGGGTTCAGGGTCAGGCGGCGCTGGAGCCCGGAGAAGGAAGGGGTCGGCCTGGGGGGCGGGTCCCCGAGTCACCTGTGTCCTCACCTGCCTCGCTCCCGTCGCCAGCCGGTTCCCGCCGGTTCCCGCCGGTCCCAGGAACACGCCGCGCCCGCTCGAGGCCCCTCCGCTGAGCCAGGCCCCGCCGCCGCAGCTCACGGGAATCCCCCGGCCTCCGCGGTCGCTAATATGGCGGCACTCAGCGGCAACCCGGCTCCCTCCCTCCGTCTGTCCCGCAGGCCGCGCGCGCGCCCGCGACCGGCCCCGCCGCCGAGCGCATCCCCGCGCCTAGGCCACGCCCCCACACGCAGGCGCGCCTAGTCCCGCCGGGCCACGCCCCCTCAGCCCTCCCCCTAACGCCTCCAGGGACTTCCATGGGGAAGCCACGCCCTTGACCACGCCTATCGCAGGCCCTCGCACAGGGCACCCGCCAATCGCCTGTGCCCTCAACTGAAGCCACGCCCCTACCAGTTACCCGACGCCCCTCCTGGGCCACGCCCCGGGGACCGACGCCACACTGCGTCTGGAAGCCACGCCCCCTGGACACGCCCACTCCGCGCCGGGCTCGCGCCCACCGCGAACAACTGCGCCTGCGCGAGGCAGCGCGGGGCAGCTCGGGAGTGTGGGACGTCCTTCAGGATTCAAATCAATACAGGAAGCGAGGCGGCACGCGTTGCCCGGGGCAACGGCGGTCGGAAGCGCGGTCCAGGAAGACTGGAGGAGTGTGGAATGGGGAAAATAACGCGGATGACTCGGCGCTGAGGAAGGCGTGGCTCCTGTTTGGGGGAGAGGTGGGGACGCGTCACCCCGAGACTTTGATTCACTCGACAGTTACGTGCAGTCACCCCGCGGACGGCGCCCGGCGCGCGGACGCCGCTGTGCACGCGCTTCCGTTTGTGTATGGTTTTGATTTTCGGAGATACCTCACTCTCTAGCCAGCTGGCCTCGAGCTGGAAGCAATCCTCCAGCCTCGGCTCCCGAGTTGCTAGGATGACATGCATGTGACAACACCCTACCCCAGCCTCAAAAATAATTTCATCGTGCGTCTACCGAGTCCCCCCAGAAACCCCAATGATGACAGCTGGAAACAAAACTCAAGAAGGCCCCGCTTCAGAAAACCTTGGGATGTGGCCAGCGAGACGGCTCAAAGGGTAGAGTGCTTGCAGCCAAGACCAATGGCCTGAGCTCAGTTCCGGAGCCCACTTGGTGGAAGGACGGAACCTTCCTGCAAGTTGTAACTTTCTGACTGCGCGCGCCACACACACACACACACACACACACACACACACACACACACACACACACACACACCTGTGGCTCCCCTGGCTAAATGACACACACTAAACAAACAGAAAAGACACAGAGGGCGAGCTGAGGGGCTGAGCTCAGTGGGCCAAGGGGGAAGGGTTTGTGCAAAGGCCCTGGGGTGCTCGGCACACAGTGCAATCACAGTCTCGGATTCTGGCGCCTGACTACTGTTCAAAACAAGACAAATCGCACCGCAGCAAGGCTCTGGGGGAAGTTGGGCCGTTCTCCTCGCTGGGCAGTTGTGAAATCCACAGCTTACACGGAGGGAGGCTAGCAGCTGTTCAGAAACGGAAACACAGAACAGCCAAGCCACAGGCGCAGGCCGCCAGAAGCGCAGCCACCCACCCACAGCTTCCTACCGCGAACATGGATGCCCCCTTCATCCACAACCTAGTGTCCACCCCTGGAGAAGGGAGCAAGCCCCATTCATGCACCTGGAACACAACACAGCAGTGAAAAAAGCCAGGTTGTCAAACAGAGGGACCCCAAAGGACACTGTTCAGCGAGAGGGCCACACAGTGTGGATTCCATGACAGGAAATGTCCAGAGATGGGAAGTGGCTTCATGGGTGCCAGGGGCTGGAAGGCTCAGGTGGGAAGTTAGATCGGGAAGACCCTGGCTCAGAACAAATGATGAAGGAGCTGGTAAAGGTACCTGCTGCCATGCCTGAGACGCTGAGTCCGGCCCCCAGATCCACCTGGAGGAAGGAGAGATGGGCTCCTCATCTGCTGACCTCCACAGGAGGACTGTAGCAGGCACACATGTGAGCACACACAAGAAATGAACATTTAGAGATCTCAAACATACACTAAAAAATAAGAACGGCCGGAAATACAGCCCTGTGAGCATGTTTGCCAACAAGAAGGAGATCCTATGCCCACAATCTCCCCCCAAAATAAATTAAAACGCGTTTTTGGGCCCATTTGGTAGAGCCCTTGCCTGGCACACGCACAGGGGAGCAGAGCATGCCTGTCATCCCAGCGCTGGGGGAGTGGAGGAAGGAGGCTCAGGAGTTAGCGCACCAGCTGCCCCTGCAGTGGACCTGGGTTCTGTTCCCAGCACCTACAGGGGGATCACAACCACCTGTGACTCCAGTTCTGGGAACCCAACGCCCCCTTCCAGCTTCTGTGGGTACTGCACACACAGGGAGCCGTGTGTGTGTGTGTGTGTGTGTGTGTGTGTGTGTGTGTGTGTGTGTGTACATGTACACACACGACCTGACGCCCCCTCTGGCCTCTGCAGGTACTGCACATGACCTGCACATAAACTCAAGTTGTCACATTCATACACACAAAATAACTCTTTAAAAGAAAAAAAAAATCTAATATATGTATACGTGTACATATCATATATGTATACATACATTTTTAAAAATATGTATTTGGGCCAGGTGGTGGTGGCACACACCTTTAATGCCAGCACTTGGGAGGCAGAGGCAGGCTGATCTCAGTGAGTTCAAGGTCAGCCTGGGCTACAAATCGAGTTCCAGGACAGCTAGGGCTACACAGAGAAACCCTATCTTGGGGTGTGTGTGTGTATATATATATATATATATATATATATATATATATATATATAGTTTTTCAAGAAGGTTGATAGCCGGGCAGTGGTGGCACACGCCTTTAATCCCAGCACTCAGGAGGCAGAGGCAGGTGGATCTCTGTGAGTTCGAGGCCAGCCTGGGCTACCAAGTGAGTTCCAGAAAAAGGTGCAAAGCTACACAGAGAAACCCTGTCTCGAAAAACCAAAAAAAAAAAAAAGGTTGAAAAAATATTTTGGTGATGCATCAAAGTTTGTTAATCTATACCTTTGTTATTATTTTTTAATTTTTATGTGCATTAGTGTTATGCCTGCATATATGTCTATATGAAGGTGTTGGATCCTGGAGTTACAGTTGCAAGCTTCTCTGTGGGTGCTGGGAACTGAACCCAGGTCTTCTGGAAGAGCAGCCAGTGCTCTTAACTGGAGCTGTCTCTCCAGCCCTAAATTTTACTATTAAACTTGATTAAGTCAGCATACCGGACAGGGTCCAGGTCAGAAACACCTGGTTACCAGGTCTCAACAAGACAGATCCAGTGTGGTGACAGAAGCCAGTGCCAGCCAGGGGTGCGCAGAAGATGCCACCAGACAACGCCTGCAGAGCACCCCGCAGGCCGTCACTCTGGACCTGGAACTTGAGTGGGGGGGCAACAGTAGATCCACAGACACAGGCCAGGAGTTCAGATTCCTGGTCGTGGGGTCTGTGAGATGACTCAGCAGGCAAAGAGGCTTGCCACCAAGCCGAGGGACGCACATGGTAGCAGGAGAGGCTGACTCCTGCAGGGTGTCCTCTGTCCACCCATAAATATAACAAAATAAATAAAGTAAATCACCACCACCACTAACCCAGCCAGTCACGGTGACACAGGTTTGTGATTCCGCAGGTGGGGCGCTGAAACAGGTGGACCCACGGGCTCACTTTAACAACAACAACAAAACCCACTCTTATAGAGACTGCAGTGATGGGGACACACGTCAACGGCCCCTAGCTAACCCAGACAGCTGGTAAAGCAGGAACACGCCAGAGGTTGGGCCTCAGCCACATGGATGCTAGACTTCTGGCCACCATGGACTCAAGGGCAGAGAAGCTGCTGAAGGGAAGTCATGGCCGATGGGCCCTGTGAAGCTTTTCCTGGTATCGGTTCCTCCCAGGGCAGCCTGGGCAGCATGCCAAGCTGTGGCCCAAGCGCCAGCCTCCCTCTGAAGCCATATCTGCTTCCTGCACCCTGGGCCTGCCGCTTCCCCTCTGCTGTTCTGAGGGCCAGATCGCACCTGGCATCTCCCCACCCTGTGACCCGCTGCAGCCCCCCCACAGCCTTTCCGAAGCCTCACGTAAACACGAGTTGGAGCTGTGCCCCGTGGCAAGCTGGCCAAGGATGATGGTACAGTTCCCTATCAGCAGCCATGTTTGTTATTTATTTTTTTCCTGTGCATGCGCACGTGGGGTCAACAGCAGATGTGCTCCTCAATCGCTCTCCATCTTGTATTTGGAGGTAGGGTCTCTCACTCAGCCTGGGGCTCACCTGGCTGGCTGCTGAGTCCCTGGCATTCCCCTGCCTCTGTACACACCATGTCATCTAGGGAGCCAACTTTCAGAGTCCTCAGGAGGTAGGTGTGATCACTCTGGTTAGTGGTCCCAATCCCCAGGAGGCCAGCCCCAAGCTGCAGGGCCAAAGGCTGGTCTCAAACCCCATTGTCTTGAGAGGAAATGAAGTCAAACAGTACAGCTGGGCTGGAGGGAGTGTGGACTCCATTTTGTTTCCCACAGGACACTCAAGCCCACAGAGGACCGATGAGTAAAGATCTCGATGAACGAGTAGAGGTGGCTTTCACTTACTTTTTTATTTTATATGGTTTATTTAGTTTTTGTTTATTTTGAGGCAGAGTTTCTCTGTGAAGCCCTGGCTGTCCTGGAACTCACTCTGTAGCCCAGGCTGGCCTCAAACTCACAGAGATCCTCCTGCCTCTGCCTCTAGAGTGCTGGGATTAAAGGTGTGTGCCACCACCACCAGGCTATAAAATATTTTAAAATGATTAACTCCTAGTTTTATTTTACTTTTAACTTTTTTTGCACTTTCATAAATATATTGTGTATTTTCATCATATGTACTCATATTTCCATTTTCCACATTTATTTACATATATCATACAAGCCCATATAATAATGGCCTTCCTGGTGGCATTTTGATCAATATATAGTATATTTTAATCTTGCCTTCATTTTATTTGTATTTTTAAAACGTCATTACCACAGATTAAATTTACATAATTATGTAATAATGAACTTCATTATGACATTTTCACGCACGTATAATGTATTTAAATTTCTTTTTTTCCATTTTTATTTTATGTGCATTGGTGTGAAGGTGTCAGATCCCCTGGAACTGGAGTTACAGTTGTGAGCCACCACATGGGTGCTGGGAATTGAACCTGGGTCCTCAGCCAGTGCTGTTAACCGCTGAGAAATCTCTTCAGCCAGTATTTAAATTGTTTTTGTTTTTGTTTTTCTAGACAGGGTTTCTCTGTGTAGTTTTGTGCCTGTCCTGGATCTCGCTCTGTAGCCCAGGATGGCCTTGAACTCACAGAGATCCGCCTGAATCTGCCTCCCGAGTGCTGGGATTAAAGGCATGGGCCACCACCGCCCAGCGTATTTAAATTTCTTAGACATCGATTTTATGCGCGTGTCACTGGAAGCATGATGGTGCTCGCCATCTAGCCTGTGGCCCCCAAGATCGAACTCCTGACGTCAGGTTTGGCTGCAAGCGCTCCCACCCGTGGAGCTGCTTGCAAGCCCTGTTCCATCACCCAGGCCTTGTGCTCCCGGAGGCCGTAGGCCACGCCCCCTGCGGTATGGCCCCACCCCGAAGCCTTGCGCATGCTCTGTCGGTACCGGTCGCTGAACTTTGATTCAGAGCAAACCATTTTGATATCTACAGGGGGGCGGGTGGAGGAAGACCGGAAGTCGCTTCTCGGGCTCTGAGGACGGTGCTTGGCGGATCTCTCCGGCGTTGACACCCCTCGCCGCGGCGCTGGTTCCGCCCGGCCTGGTCACGTGGCCGCCAAGATGGCGGCGCCCAGGGGAGGCTGCGCGCGCGGCGGCTGCTGACGGGTCCTCGGTGTCCGTGGCCCCGCGACCCGCTTCGACGCGTCCCCGCGGCCGAGAGCACGGTGACGGCTGCCGGAAGCGCCTCCGGGGACTTCCGCTTCGAGGGTCTGGCTGCCCGGGACGGCCGCAGTGGTGCGTAGGCCGCCCTGGCCTCGGGTCTGCAGCGGTTCGCCGCCGGCTGACACTGCGGCGGGCGGACACGGGGTCTCGTGGCGCAGGCTAGCCCGCCCGCGCCCCGGTGCCTTCCCGCCTGCCCCGCCTGGTCGTCCTGTCTGTGACGCACCTGCCCAGACCCTCGGTGGCGTCCAGATGGCTGAGCGGGCCTTCCGCGTACCCGTGGATGTCAGGTCCCATGTCAATTCACCCACGAGAGAACGCGTCTTGTCAGGCCAGCGAAGTCCCGAGGGAGGAGCGCCAGGCTGGGGAGGGATGAAGTGTAAAGTCACGGGAGGATCAGCTAGGCGGCGATGAGATCCGTTTGCAATGGAGTTTCCAGCTCTGTCATCAGTGCGGTGTTGGAGCCCAGGAGGTGGCGTCACTGGGGGCATCCTCCGGGACCAGCTCCCAACTGGGGGCGTGACTCAGGCTTAGACCGGTTCCCGGGGCCGGGTGTCTGTCCGTGCCTCCGTCTCTGGCCTTGTGTGGAGCCTGGGGCAGGTACCCGGGGGGGGGGGGGGCAGCCGTGAGAGCCTGGGGCAGGTACCCGGGGGGGGGGGGCAGCCGTGAGAGCCTGGGGCAGGTACCCGGGGGGGGGGCAGCCGTGAGAGCCTGGGGCAGGTACCCGGGGGCAGCCGTGAGAGCCTGGGGCAGGTACCCGGGGGCAGCCGTGAGAGCCTGGGGCAGGTACGGGGGGGGGGCAGCCGTGAGAGCCTGGGGCAGGTACCCGGGGGCAGCCGTGAGAGCCTGGGGCAGGTACCCGGGGGCAGCCGTGAGAGCCTGGGGCAGGTACCGGGGGGGGGGGCAGCCGTGAGAGCCTGGGGCAGGTACCGGGGGGGGGGCAGCCGTGAGAGCCTGGGGCAGGTACCGGGGGGGGGCAGCCGTGAGAGCCTGGGGCAGGTACGGGGGGGGGGGCAGCCGTGAGAGCCTGGGGCAGGTACGGGGGGGGCAGCCGTGAGAGCCTGGGGCAGGTACCGGGGGGGGGGCAGCCGTGAGAGCCTGGGGCAGGTACCGGGGGGGGGGGCAGCCGTGAGAGCCTGGGGCAGGTACCGGGGGGGGGGGGGGAGCAGCCGTGAGAGCCTGGGGCAGGTACGGGGGGGGGGGCAGCCGTGAGAGCCTGGGGCAGGTACCCGGGGGCAGCCGTGAGAGCCTGGGGCAGGTACCGGGGGGGGGGGGCAGCCGTGAGAGCCTGGGGCAGGTACCGGGGGGGGGGGGCAGCCGTGAGAGCCTGGGGCAGGTACCGGGGGGGGGGGGGCAGCCGTGAGAGCCTGGGGCAGGTACCCGGGGGGGCAGCCGTGAGAGCCTGGGGCAGGTACGGGGGGGGGGGCAGCCGTGAGAGCCTGGGGCAGGTACGGGGGGGGGGGGGCAGCCGTGAGAGCCTGGGGCAGGTACCCGGGGGGGGGGGCAGCCGTGAGAGCCTGGGGCAGGTACCGGGGGGGGGGGGGCAGCCGTGAGAGCCTGGGGCAGGCAGGTAGCCTGGGGCAGGTACCGGGGGGGGGGCAGCCGTGAGAGCCTGGGGCAGGTACCGGGGGGGGGGGGCAGCCGTGAGAGCCTGGGGCAGGTACCGGGGGGGGGGGGGGCAGCCGTGAGAGCCTGGGGCAGGTACCCGGGGGCAGCCGTGAGAGCCTGGGGCAGGTACCCGGGGGGGGGGGCAGCCGTGAGAGCCTGGGGCAGGTACCGGGGGGGGGGGGGGCAGCCGTGAGAGCCTGGGGCAGGTACCGGGGGGGGGGGGGGGGGCAGCCGTGAGAGCCTGGGGCAGAAACCCTGGGCTGCTCAGGGGCGTGAGTGACCGCCTGCGGCCGAGCTGGCCGTGTTGAGCGCTCGGGGGAGGGTGGCGGCGGCCCTGGAGGTTTGGGGATCCAGGGCTGGGACGCGGGGTGTGCGGCGCAGCAGGGCCTCACCCTCCCGTTCTGTAGCAGGTTAAGGAACCGGCTCTGTGGAGCAGGGTAGGAGGCGGTCGCCATGGTGACGGAGCAGGAGGTGGAGGCCATAGGGAAGACCCTGGTGGACCCCACGCAGCCCCTGCAGACCCGCTTCCGGGCCCTGTTCACGCTGCGGGGACTCGGTGGCCCGCACGCCATCGCCTGGATCAGCCGGGCCTTCGAGGACAGCTCTGCCCTGCTGAAGCACGAGCTGGCCTACTGCCTGGGCCAGATGCAGGACCCGCGCGCCATCCCCGTGCTGGTGGGCGTCCTGCGTGACGCGAGCCAGGAGCCCATGGTGCGCCACGAGGCCGGTGAGTGTGGCGGCCACCCGTGTCCCGGCGCTGAGCCGGGCCCACATTGTGTCCCCTGGGCCCAAAGCCTGTTGTCGGCCGCCCGGGTCTGATGACACTTCCCGTGTGGTCCCAGCAGGCCAGCCTGGGGGTAAGGGTTCTGATTGGCCAGTGGGAGGCTGATGCTCAGCCGCTGCCTTGTCTGTCTTCTCAGGGGAAGCTCTGGGGGCGATCGGTAACCCGGAAGTTCTGGACCTCCTGAAGCAGTATTCCACCGACCCAGTGGTCGAGGTAGGAGACTGACTGACCCGGCCTGTCAGACCTGCTCTGGAGTCCGTGCCTGGTTGCCAGAGCGACCTCCTGGGAAAGGACGCTGTAGAGATGGGGCACGTGAAGCCGGGCAGGAGGGCAGGGCCACCCCCAAGCCCTCCCCATAGCTCTGGGCCCTCAGCCTGGAGAATCTGACCCCTGTCTGTTTTCTGCCTCTGGCCTGTGTGAGCCCTCACACACACACCCGCTGCACGCTCCTGTCACGGAGCAGGCGCTGTGTGGCCTTTTGTGTCTGGGTCCCACTAGGCACCGTGGCCCAAAAGGGCTCCACGCTGTGCTGTGTGTCAGAGCCTCCCTCCTGTTCATGGCTGAGTAATACTCCAGCATGTGAGGGAGGAACTCCGCATGTGTGTCTGTCCGTTACTCCT